ATTATGAGCTAATAAAATCCACCCTTTGTTGAAAAAGATGCAGAGGCCCGAGGTACGTCCTCCTTTTCCAAAAAAATGTACATGACTGATGTTTGCAATGATTATTTTGTAAAATTTCCAAGAACCTGGTGGGTCCGGTACCTTGTGCGGGCAGTGTTCCAGTGTGGAAAAGGGTCACACATCTGAAGTATGTAAGAAAGAATCTTGAGTGCAAAGCTGATGGTGTGTGACATCTTGAGTGCAAAAAAGACTTGAGCGCAAAGCTGATGCGGGGTGCCAACGTTTGGTTCCCCACCGTCGTCGTTTGCTCGGGCTGCAACCAAGGAGCACAGCCCGGGTAAAAAATTCTGAACTCAATCAAATAACAGGATGGAAATTAACTGAAAAGGACCCGATGCCTGAGATTGCTTTGCAGGAAATAAACTTGAACTCAATCTTGGGATACATACATACATACATACATACATACATACATACATACAAGCATCTAAGTTTTCTGCTGCCTGCTCCAACTTGGACCTGAAAAACTCGCAAAAAGAAAAACTTGGACCTGAAAATTGGAAGTGCCCTCGGGTTGGAGAGGAGAGGGCGGGGTGGCTGCCTCCATGGAGCACGCGTGTACTCATCAACAGCGTTGACACGCCCTGGGTGGCGAGCTTCCGCGCGCGGTGCGGTGTCAGGGGCCATGACACAATGGGGGGGGGGGGATCATAGTTTAGGGGCACCACCTAGGGGGATACGGGTGGCCGGCGGATGATCTCTAGGTTGGGTTGTACGGATGCGGAGTTGGCGAGTCGGGCGCCGCCGGCGGAGGTGCCGCCGTGCCGGCAGGAGAAGAATACCCATGATTGGAACTCTAAAGGAAGAAGAGAGAGAAGGTGGACTTTTTTTGACGAGTAACTAGGGACTTTATTAAGGAGTAATAATCAACAGGATACAAATAATGTCTGGAAGTGTCCCTAGCTAAATATGACGACCTACTGGAAGTGAAGATGCAGCTTTTGCCAGCGCATGTGCTTCAAAATTATTTTCTCTATGCTCAAACTTGAACTTGACGTAGTTGAACTCCCTCCTTCTGGCCGAAATTTCATGCAAAATTGGTGCATAGCAGGTCGCTGCACCTGTGTCAATCTTGCTCACCACTTCCAGGCAGTCAGAGCTAGCCAAATGCCCCAACACGGCCCGGTCCATCGTAATCGTGCCAGGCACGGCCCGATTAGCCCGCGGATCCGCTGCTTCATCCCTACACTCACTTAAGCCCATGTCAGCCCATTCTTTTCCTCCGCTCATGCGACCTAGGCAGGGCGGAGGCAGCGGCCGATCTACACGTTCCCTGCATGGGTCCCCTTCTCCCTTTGTTTGTTGCAACGATGATGGGTGGGAAAGAGGATCCCAGTTCTTCGTCTTGATGGCAGTAGAGATAGGGATATTTAGGGTTTGGTCTTTGAATGACGGTGGCGAGACGATGGCATCGTCGTTTGAGTGGAATAAGGTCTCCAAGTCTCTTGCTCGATCTGATGATGCCTCTTTGTATCATCGGGGAACATGTGGAGGATGGTGTGATTTCAGATCTAGCTTTTTCTTTAGGAGGTTTTTCTTAGTGGTGTTGTCCACGGAGCAGACAATGTGATTGTGTGTTTCAATACTACAACTCCAATTTCAACCGATGAAAGTCTCCCGATCTCGACCTCGTTTAGCAGCTTGTGAGATTTGTGTTCTCGAAGTCCGCCTAGTTGGATCTAGGGCGTTCTAACTCTCCATCGTTTTCTTCACTGTAGCGGCAATAGATCGCGGTGGACAGCGTCTTTAGGTCTACAGCAATGACTTATATATGGGCCACTACTTGTACAAGCTCCAGAGTTCAATATATTTGCTACGCTCAGATAGAGGTCGAGAGGCGGCAACGAGCTTTCTCACGACGCGTCACAGCAACCCCCCCCCCCTAATATTTTCGACGTATGTAAGAGTGTTTTTGGAAGGGCTTGTATTACCTAACATATGGCCTTTGGCCTTTTGAAAAAAAGACCCTCTTATCTAGTATTCTAGGGGAGTGTCAAAATTGTGGGTAATGGTTTTTATTTTTGGAATTTTTTGGTGTTGAGGCTGGAGTTACACCTCGTGAAATATGTTGTTGATTGATGTTTTCTTTTTGAATCTTTGTTTCTTTTGGTTTGTGATAAAAAATGAACCACCATGTGATTGGATGGTTAGGAGGGTAGTGTCACCACCAATCCTCCAGGGATCAACACCTAGGTTTGATGCTTTGGTGTTTAGTAAAGATGAAATATTATTTCAATGGGGGGCGATAGTGAGGTGGATAGGGTGTGCGTGCATGCATTTATAGGGATAAGTATATGTACGCGTTTTGTGAGAGTTTGTGGTTGTAATATGTTTGTCAAAAAAATTGCTTCAAATAGTCATCTTTTGTTTGTGTTTGTTTTTTCTTTGATGATCACAGCTTTAGAAGGGCATGGCAGCTAAAAAAAGGTAATGCTAACTGGCAAACGTTCACTTGAAAGTAACTGCTAGCGAACACACTCATAAACATTTAACCGAGATCAAATGATGACAGTTTTCTTTTTAAATGACTTCTCTACCGTGAAGTTGTCATGCTAGTCCGAAGAAATTGCCGCCCCAACAACTAAATTGCCATAAAAATGTTTGCAATTTCCATCCTTCTGAGTGAACGTTCGCCAGCTTAGAGGGTAAACAAAAAATAATTACGGGAAGTTTTCTTTTTGAGACAATTTTTTTTACAGGAAGTGAAGTTACACTGGACGGAGCAGGAGAAGAGCGTTCGAGAATGGGCCGCATTATGGGGTTCGGCCGTCACCACGGCGGTCCAATCGGGCGGCGCCTCCGTCCGCCGTCTTGCTCCCCTGCTGCCGGCGCCAGTCTCGCCATATGCACCGGACCTAAGACCCAGTCGCCCCCGCCCCTCTCCGCCCGCCGCCTCTCCCCGCAGACACAGTACATGTTGTTGCCGCTCTCTTTCTCTCACTCGCACAAACGAAGATGGAAGATGGAGCACATAATTTTTCCGGCGCACAAACGCCTCCGCTGCACGAACGGCCCCACTTTACTAGGCACATACCCGGGCGCGGCAACACACCGCAGCCTATCCAGAGGAGCTCTCTCACAGCCGATCGGGCGCATACCACGGTCCCGGCGGAGACTACCTCATTTCTGGCTCCTAGGCTCGGCTCATACCCGCGCACCGCAAACAGTACATCAGGGGGCCTTTTTATACCCGACTGCACACACACGCACAGCCAAGACCCGGCCACCACACCGGCCACCACTAGCACGTACACAGCCGGCTCACCCGCTAACTAAGGGCATGTACAATGGTGCTATCTTACGAGTGCCACGTAGGATAGATGATGAGGTGGAGGAGAGAGAACTCATAAGAAAAGGCTTGTCTTCTCTTAATTAAGAGAAGACAAGAGATGATCTCTTAGCACAATATGTCTCACCACATATTTAGGAATTGCTAGTTATTAAAGATAAGGCTAAAAGATGACCCATTGTAGATAATTTTTTTTGTCTTCTCTAAATCACATGCAAGACTTAAGATAAGACTATCTTATCAACCACTGTACATGCCCTAAGTCACCACGCACGCACTAACTCCATCTCCTAGAATCTCTCCAGCAGGACATGCATGGCCAGTGGCTGCACAACTCATGCGACCAACTAACTTATCCATGCAAACAACCTACTAGCTAACAGAAACGTAGTTCAAGGAGCCTCCCTGGCCCTCCGGTCTCCCGATGGTGAGCACGCCCGCTCGTCGCCACAACCTGGACGCCGTCTCGCCGGTCACCACCGTTGGGCATGGCTTATTCGCGCCAACAGTACACACTGTCGCTGATAAAAAGGAGCCGCCTCCCCACGCTCCCGGTGGCGTGATAGAGAGAAGCGAGCGAGCGAGAGCGCCAATTTCTTCGAGGTGGTGCTCTTCAGTTCTGGTAATGAATCCACTTTTTGCCTAATCAATCCGTCTACAGGTGCGTTTCTTGTTAATTTTGATTTCAACCAGTCTCGAATCAGTCTCCAGCGGTCTGAATTTTTACTTCCGTGTTCCGTCTGCTCTCGGTTGCTAAAATTGGGGAGGAGTTCAGTTACTGTTAGTGGCTGTCAGTTAGCTTATCTTCCCCTATGCAGGACTGAATATTATCAGATGGCTGCCGGGTTGATGAGAGCGGCATCCACAATCGGTTGCGCAGTACCGTTCCGCATTCAAACGATGCCCACCTGCCGGTGCGTTTCTGTGCAGACTGACATTTTTTATGCGGTAGCGTTGGCTTCTCTGCTCAAATGTTACCACCAATTTGCATGGCAAGGGCTTTCAGTTGTGCAGTTCTCCATCTAAGCTTGGCATGAATTTACTGTCATGATAGCAATGAACAAGTCACATCGTATCATTTGGTTTGTGGTTCATGGGAGAGAACCCAATGCCTGAGATTGTTTCGACATCCTCGATTTCAGCAAACAAAATACACATTCAATTCTTCAGACGCCTTTGCTGTCTGACAGTGGAGGTACAAGTTGAAGAAGGACAGCAGCGGTGCGTGGACCCCAACGAATTTTAGAGCTGGATATATAGTGCATTCTCCTTCTGTTTCCCGAACATGTATCCAAATGCCTGTCATATTTGCGCCGATAGGAAAAACTTGAACCATATATTTGTATTAAAAGAAGCGCCGAGAAAAGACAGCAATTTACTAACGGTGGCAACGGCAAGACAGCATGAGTGCCAAAATCATTGCTAATATAAACCACTACATCTCTTCTAATCATCTCAGGGTAACAACATTCAGTCTACATATATCAGCAAGCATAATTCCAACTGAGGAACTGATACAATCATGATGCCTGAAATCATGGCTTATTACAATACCAACCTAACTAGACCAACTAACCTACAATACAAGTTGTGGCAACAGTTCATAAAAGAGGGAAACAATTATCCAATATTATAAGCTCAATAGCCTCATCTAACGTGGTAAGCTAGCAGATGACAAGAACTCTGCCTCCAAGCTATAGCGTCGTTGGCTACCTCCTGACCGGACAGACGATTGCAGAGCAGATCTAGTCCTTCTAGTTGACGACCCTGCTTGCATCAGTTCTTCATTCCTTGGATCTGCCTGAGATGAGTTCATCCGTTTTGTCCATAGAGTCCGCAGTTCCGTCTCCACCTGTTTCATGGTGGGTCTTTCATCGCCATGTAGCCTCAAGCACCGCTCTGCAAGAGAGGCGACAGTGTTGATTTCTTCCTCGGTTGCTTCTTCGATGATCTGGGAATTAGCAATACTTGTGATTCTTCCCTCGTTGAACTCTTGGAGAAAATAGTTTGACAAGCTCTTGATTGTGCCTGATTCATTTGTGAAAACAGGCTTCATTCTGAGAAGCAACTCCGCCAGTACCACACCAAAACTGTACATGTCGCTCTTCCCATTCAGCTGCCTGGTATGGAAATACTCTGGGTCTAAGTACCCAAATGTACCCTGCACATTCGTGACAATGTGCGTTTGATCGATCGGAACCAATCTGGATGCACCAAAATCTGACACTTTAGCTGTGTAATTCCCATCCAAGAGTATATTGGAGGATTTCACGTCACGATGGAAGATTGATATTGAAGCTGAAGAATGGAGATAAGATAGAGCTCCTGCTGTTTCCAGGGCAATCCTTAAGCAATCACGCCAAGACAAAGAAAAATCATTTCTTGTATCTGCATGAAGAACTTCAGATAGTGAACCACTAGATACATAATCATACACTAGCAGTGGAACCTCGGTTTCGAGACAACATCCAAAGAGCTTCACAATATTTCTGTGGTTTATCTGAGTGAGCACTGCAACCTCGTTAATGAATTGACTGATCTCAGACTGCTCAATGACCTTAGACTTTTTTACTGCAACAACACGCTGATCAGACAATATGCCTTTGTAAACCATGCCATGACCCCCACGTCCAATGATACGTATAGGATCAAAGTTGTTCGTTGCCTTCTCTAGCTCTTGTAATGAGAAAATCTTTGTGTTCTCAGTTGCAGTTTCATCAGATGATATCAATGTTTCTAGGAGAAGACCTTGGTTCTTTCGGAAATACTTCTTCCGTAGTTGCCTTTGAATATTTTCTCTTTCTTCTCCAGCTACGGATGAGAAATACTGCACTGGAGCTCAAGAGTAGAACGCCGATACCACAGGACAGCCCAATAATTATACCTGCAGGCAAGCTCTTTTAAGTTTACTGTTCTATCTTGTTTATGATGAATTTAACAATAATATAGTCGTACCTAAGAGTAGATGTTGTTGTTTTGTCACAGTACATTTCATCTTTGATGGATCGTACTCAGTCTTGCGAGGACATCCAGTACAATTGAAACTTCCTTCGGTATTATGACAGACCCCTTTACATTTGTTCGGATGAAGGCACTCATCAATGTCTGAAATTAACAGAATCTTATGAGATGCGTTGACAAAATATGTACTCCCTTTGATTCACAATTAGTACTGTAGGACATCAGCATGGTTACCATGGTAACCTTGTGATATACATTTAAAAAAATTGTTTCAAACATAAATAATTATATATAATGAAAATATATGTCATTATTAATCTACTATATCAATTCCCCATGTTTGTAATTTTTTCTATATTGATGGTCAAACCTATTTCTTTTGAATGACACTAATTCTGAAGCTGCTTATATCATGAATGATAGGGAGTAACATGGAGCAGATCAGCCAATTAAATGAAACATAAATGAATGATAAACAAACTAGAAGTGGTGCAAATATCAATGTACGATAGTAATTAACATGCAGCTACTTTAATAAAACATGCCTTTTAATACATAGGTACGACTTTCTTTTGGAGAGTTATAAGAAATAGCTAACAATACATTTTTCTGCAGCTATAGGGGTTGTACCATTTGTAGCCTAGAGAGTGGGAGTACGTTGACAACCATTTTGGATGTATGGATTTCCTTGGAAGCCATCAAAGCATCTGCAGCGGTAACTCGTAATAGCAGCTGTATGTTGTTCCCTTCATTAGGACAAAGAAAGTTACCTTTCTCATCGCTGGAGCAGCCATGTGGAATGTAGGGGTTGCCTGAATAGCCATCGTTGCACCTGCAGGTGTACCCACTTATTGGCGTACTTTTTAATGCATAATCATACCTGTAATCGCACTTGGCATGCTGGCTGACACAGGCAACACATGTGGGTTGATCCCCTAATTGCCATGAGAGCTGTGAGCCATCAGCACTTATGCTGATTTTATCCCACAATTGGGAGGCCTGGTTGGAGATCGTGCTGACGTTTTTTGTGTTGTGGTGGTAGACCAATTTGAACAGATAACTGCTGGGATAGCTTGCCTGACTATAGTCACAGCATCCAATTCCATTACAGTTGTGCATAGCCTCCATCTCTGTGATTTCTTGGTCTGAGCACGTTGTTGTGCATATTGAATTGGTGTCATTCCCTTCCACAGAGTACACCTCTAGGCCGCAACCAATGAAGGCTAGAGCAAAGGAATCAATATCGAAGGACGTCCCAGGTGGTTCCAAAGAGAAATAGTAGACACTCACACCAGATTTCGGGGTGATGGTATGCGAAAAGGAGACCTTGATAAGAGCATCGTCGTCAAAGTTGGTCACCTCGGTGATGCCGTCGTACAAGAAGAGCCTGGGGGGCTGAGTGGTGTTGTTGCAAATGAGGTTGAAGTCAGGTCCACGGGAGCACCTGGATCCGATGCCGAAGGGATAGCCGAAGCTCACAGTACCGCAGCTCGTCGGGCAGCCATGGAGCGTGCCATCGGCACGGGATGGTTGCCCCCAGTTCCCCTTAGGGTTCTGCTGGACTATTGCAACTTCGGCTGCCAGAGTTGTTGGCTTTCCCAGTGACCCAAGCACCAATAGAGAGAGCATCAACGGGAAGATGCCCATGATCAATCTAGAGTTCTACACTACACCCTGCACTAGAAAAATTCAGGTCAGGCAGCGGTGCCTTCTCTTCTAGGTATCCTTTACTGCATATATATAGCAATGGTTACAAACTTATAGTTGACCCAAGGATGACCGGAAGAGGATTCGTGTGAATGTGGATGTGGATGTTGCGTGCTTGGATGGCATGTGAAAGCAGATGATAATGCTGCCCATGTGGATGTGGATGTGGCAGTGGTGTACCTGATGGGATGTGAAGGAGAAGACCATGACCACGACCTCAGCAGGTCAGTCCACTAAAGGGGCTAGTCTAAGTCTGTTCCTGACAAACCATGTTACACAGTTCACTTGTGCGTTCTGTGGGCTCCCAAAGGTTTGCTCTACACAAGAAAGTTCATGCCAACATTGAGAGGAAATTACAGTATGTAAATGGGGGACGCGGAATCGTACCATGCAACCTGTTGTGAATGCCATCCTGCTCGTCAACAATGGAAGCCGGCTAAGCAATTTTCAGTCCCCACCTGGTGAAGAATCTTCGGTCTTTCCAACTGGCACCTAGTAACAGTAACTGAACTCCATCCCCATTCAGCTGTTGTTTCCTTAATTAAGCTGCAACCCAGAAGAGCACCGAGTGAAAATTGTGAACACTGCTGATAAACTACAGACACGGAATCAATCAGAAATCAATCTTTCAGAAGACGGAAAAAACAGAGTAGAACCAATGCCTGAGGTTGCTTGGACACCGCTCAATCTTTCAGCTGGCGTATCCAAAGGAAAGAAATGGGAGATGGCGGTGGAGAAGAGAGCAGATTCCGCCATGGACGACGAGCTGCTGTGCACGGTGCGTTATCAGGAGCCATGGTAGAAATAGAATGGAGGGATTTTAGGGGTAGGAGGAGAAACCAAGGCACGGCGGCGTCAGGCGACGAATATAAGCTAGGTTGGATGGGGTTGGGCAGCGGTGGAGGTGGCGAGGCGGGCCCGGGGATGGTGGCGGAGCAAGACGGTGGGCGGACCGCCGTGATAGAGGAAGAAGAGAGATTTTTTGTTTTGTTTTTTGAGTTGAGAGGAAGAAGAGAGAAGACGCATTGGGTTGGGCCCTCATCATTTAGTCCAATCTACGGGCCGAGTGTTGATTAAAACCCATACTGCGGGTTACGCTGCTTCTGCTTCTGTAGTTTCTTCTTGTGCGTCTGCTTCTCGGTCTATTTTGTTGAACAACCTTTTTCCTTCTTAAAGTCAAAGAAATATCTGGAGTGCATGATTATTTTAGGTGTAAGAAAAAAATGAATAATTACCAATGTATATAATATTGATGAAGAGTTTGGCCTTAAATCACTTTCTGAGATAGCAATTCTAGAGTATTACTTAGCGAGGTTAATCAAAGGTTTGTCGAATCGTTATCTCATATATCTTGCATGTCCCAGGTTCAACAATAATATTGCATCACATGCATATACTTGGTATTGAAATAACAACACTCAACTCAACTTGCACCAACTCAAACAGAAAACTCGCAACAAAGTGCATCTTGTATTTTTTTTAATTGGTTCTATCTGTAGTCTGCATAAAATAGTTATCATGTGCATGGAAAAATAGTATCACTTGCAATAGATATTCATGGAAATTTGTGCATCATGTTGTTTTCTTGGTTTAGTATCCACAGTTTTGTAGGAATGAGCAATTCAACCACAAAAGTAGTAGTGACTTTTACGGACGCGGACGAGGAGCACATGGAGACACACCTCCCTGTAATCTGAACCACAATCGATGTCCATTGGGATGCGGATTGAAGTCAATTTTTGTTTCCCTATTGAACCAATACATTTGTAGAGAAGTAAAAGTTAGTTAATGGGTACAACGCAGGACATGATTTTTGAATTGCCAATGCTATGCTGGAAGTAAATATGCATTGACTTTGTGTCCACTAATGATTAATTCATGTGTGTTGGCAAATAAAGGATGTCAGGTAGTTACTACGTAATGAATGTGTTGGAGCTCACAGGTATGCCACGGTTTAATAAATGAAACCAAACGACAGTATGCAATGTAATTAGTGTTAATTTATCTTTGTTGGACCATGAAGATAAACGGCTACATACAGCTGCACCGATAAATCAGCAGGCAACGTCAATACTAAAATAATCTTTTATAGCAAAAGAAGTCCTGAGATTAGTATAAGTAAACTTTGTAGGATTATATCATTGGGTTCTCGCGTTTTCACTAGAAATAAAAAATAGAGCGACATAATTTCACATAATTTGTACCATGGATTTTCCAAGAATTACAATATTGGCATTCTCATTCTTTTTTTATTTGAAATCTTAACAATCATGAAATCCGGATTTTACTTTAATTATCCCATGACGAGATTCTTAGTTTATAAAAGGCACATAACTTCATTGAAATATATTTGATTTCACATTTACTAAATCTTGGAAATTATTTAAATGCATTAAACATAAATTATTTTTAAAGTTAAAATGATATTATAGTCTTAAAACTGGTACAAAAAAATAAACTTGTGAAGGATATTTTTAAAGTTCAATAATATAGCATTTCAAAAACTTGGGACAAACTGAATATTAGATGTGTTGCATCATTCAAAACTCTGGAGTCAACAAAATCTGCACGCATGTGGTTCACCGGTTAATGATGATGTTGTGGTTGGTTGCTGGGGGTTGGCACGAGAGCATGAGATGAGTGGGCCAGGAGGAGGACAGTGTGTGCAGCGAATATCTCCGTATATCTTCCTCAAAACCTGTTTATTATCAGGCCGCCGTAAAAAACCCTATTTATTTTACTATTTATATATATGGACGCTAAACTAAGCCTGAGCGCAAATTGCTTATTCTGCGCTCCGGCCACGACGCACGGTTGATGTCCCAGTAAACAAAGCCAACTTGCGCATGCTTAGTGCAGTTGCTTCCCACTTGACCGTAAAATAGGAGTAATATATAGTAAAAATGTTAACCACTTTACTACAGCCGCACTTCTAATTTGATGGTA